GATCTCTCTCTACTGGCAGAATCTCTTTGTTACAGAGTGCTGACTGGAGACCCAGATTCCTGAGCCCTACCCCCATGGTCTTATTCAAATTAACCAGATGCCTTAGAGGGACTAACAGAGTCACCTAGGTCACAGACACCCAACGTTGGGAAATGAGACCCCCCCCACACTGCTTTGCATTGATAGTTTTAGGAACTTTCCAAATGGTTCTGAAGTGAATCAGTGTTGAGACCCGCAGAGAGGCCTAGAGAAGTATTAGCCAGACTTCCCAATGATAAGAATCTCCCTGTTTCTTTTTAAACAAACAGATTCCTGGACCCACACCCATGGAGCTGGGGTGGGGCCCAGGAATCTTTTGATTTTTTTAACCCCCACTAATTCTGGAGATCTGGGAGGCTTGGGGACTTGGCTAAATTCCTAAGAGGGGGTGGCAGAGGAGGGCTGGCCAGGAGTTCAGCTGTGGTGCTCAGGCACAGGCAGCAGGATCTCTCAGGAAAGAAGTGTGACATCCAGCAGCTCAGAGGCTCCTGTGAGGCTGGAAGTGCAGCTCTGCCTTCTGCTTCTTAGTGTCTTCCACTTTCTGGAAGGTTCTTGGTTGATTGGTTGGTCGGTCTTCTGTTCCTCTCCTCACATTTGAACATTACCTCTCCAACAGTTGAGTTTAGCACAGAATAGGTGCTTAATAAATAGTGGGTAATGAAAGCAGGGGAGACATCAGCCCACAGTTAAAAGGACTGGAGTAAAGGGGACTGCCCCAGAGACCAGCCCCAGAGGCCAAGAGTCCAGCAGGAGGTTGAGGAGTCCAGAGGAGGGAAAGTTAAAGAGACAACGACCTGGAACAGGCCAGGTGGGGTCGGGGAGTGTGATTGCCAAGGGGCAAATTGGGAGGAGGGAGACTTCAAGAGTGTCCCTGGGCCAGAAAGGAGGGAAAGAAGATTCATTCACTCCACAGCTTTCTCAGGAAAGATGTCATGAATAATGAGCAGTTTCCCCAGCCCCACCCTGCTCCCGGACCAGCAGGAACAGAGCCTGAAATGCTTGACTTCAAAGCCGTGTGGCTCTGTGCTGGAGATGATGGCCAGGGGCTTATGGAACTCCAAGGAGGGGCCCCTGACCCTAAAAGAGGGGCCTTAGAGGGCTTCCTGGAGGAGATGATGACTGGGCCAAGTCCTGAAAAAGAGAGAGTTTATCAGGTGAAGATATTGATAAACAAGGCCCCATGCTGAGAAGAGGCCCAAACTAAGACGGGAAGATGAGGTGGGGGAGGGGCATGGTGCACTGCATACTGCGGGGGGCCCGGGGAGGACAGCTCCCCAGCAAGTTCAGGAAGCACAGTGGGGGAGGCCAGGAACAGTTAGGAACAAAGAAACTGGAAGCATCCAGGTGGAAAGGGAGCTCCCAGACAAAGCCGTGGACCCCTCAGAACATAACAGACACCATGAGCCCCCCAGTGCAGACCACCCTCTGAGTTTCCATTTCCAGCTCAGAAGCTGGGCTTCACTCTGACCAGGACAACTCAGATGAGGGGATCTTCCCTCCTCAGATGATGAATGAGGGCTGTCCAATTTCTGGCGGCTGGAGCCTCAGAGGGCCTGGCTGCTGGGTTAACCCTCAGTAAAAAGACAGGGCAAGGCCACCAGGCCCTCAGGAAGACCCACTGCTTCCCCTGGGATGGACAAACACCCTGCACAGGCTGGAACTGTGTCTTCTATTCTGCAGCACAGAAGCCTCCAGGTGACAGGGCAGAGGCAGCCCAAGGGTAGTTTGATCTGCTTTTTATTTATTTATTTTTCATAAGTTTTCCTGCCTCAGGTCCTTGGGGGGACCAGGCTGCTCCACTGGGTCTCTTAGCCTGGTTCCCATGCACAGCTACACTAAACCATGGGGTGCCTGGTTGATGATAAGGAAAAGGTGGCACTTTGGTGATAAGGCCTCTCTCTACCAGCACATGACCGGGCAGGCAAAGCATGGCTTGGGTCACGGTCCTGTTCACCCATCAGCATGGAGCACATGGGCAGTGTGGGAACTGCACAGCGATGAAAGGCGGTCCTGTGCCCTTGCCCAAGTGCAGTTTTGGGGTACTGAGCCTGACTCCCCACACTTTGTCCCTGTGGTCTCTGTTCCTTTAACCTTGTTGCCTCCCACCCCTAGGGACCTGTCCTTTCAGTCTGGACAGTCCCACTAGACCACGGAGCCCATCAAGGGATCCCCACAAGATACTCAGACCATCACCGGCCGAGGTGGAACACAGCCTTCATCTCCTCTGTGCTCTTGGGCTGCCGAAGTCTCTGCCAGTTCTGAGATCGCTCTTCTGTTTCCACCCCTCTGAACGTGCCAGCCCCAAGAAGCAAAGGAATGGGTTAGCTCCTCCCAAACCCCGTCCCAAGTTTTTTTGGGGCAACGCCAGCCAAAACAGTCCCTGTCACTTGCCCCCTGCCCAGACTCTCAGCTGCAGTTAACATTGCCATTTCTGCCATCTCTCCTGCTTTGCCCACGTGCCCGAATCCCAAGTCCTCAAAGCCCATGGGAGACTCCCCACCATGGGTCCAGCCCTTTACCAGGGTGCCAGTTCTATTCAAAGTCACTGGTCCCCGGGATGGGACAGAGGAAGGGGACGAACCTCCTTACAGTCTGAGCGGTAACTCTTTGGATTCTCCCAGCAATCCTCTAAAGTAGGGAGGGATGTTGAGGCTCCAAGAACAGATACAGCCTCTCTCCTGGTTGCACAGCCAGGGACCCAGTCAGGGACCCCCAAGCAGCACATTTTCTGCTCCACTCGACACCTTAGACCACCCAGGAAAAGAGAAAACAGAAAGTGTGGAATCAAACAAAGAGCTTTGTTTTTGACGATGTTTCTGAGATCTCTGTGAAGATAGTACCTGGTGAAGCCAGATTTACAGATAGGTGGTTAGTGTAGTCGGGTAAATGGGGTCTCAGATGAAGATGGAGCCCATCCCTAGGAAATGTTAATGAAGCAGCCCCCAGCAAAAAGGGGATGCTAATCCAAAAGCAATCCCAGCCCAGATTACTCCTTTGGCCCACCTGTCCCCCACCCTTAAGGCCTTCCTTCCCGCATTCCATCACTGCAAGATAACAGAACAAAGGACAGGAATGCGGGAAAGCTGAAAGTAGACCTTAGCTATAAAAGAGGGAAGACATCGCCCTTCCATGGATTCCACCTCTTGGGTCCCCTTCTTCCTCCCGGGAGAAGTCTTTTGCTGTCTTTTAATAGTCAACTTTCCACTCTACCCTTGCCTCCGCGTGCCTCTCTGGCATTATACTTCTGCCTCCGGGAAGCAAGGACTCGTCACCGGTACACAGCGGGAACACTGGAACCTGATTGTACAGCCAGCTTCTCCGGGCCCTGCTCAGACCTGACTTTGCGGTGGACTTGCCATGGGGCCTGGTGGTTGGTGCTTCTCAGCAAGGCAAGTCTGGGGCTCCCAGGAGACCTGCCCAGCTCCATTCTACAGATGAGGAATCAAGCTATTTGGAAGAGTTCAAGAGCGCCTGAGTTACTGGCTCTGCCTCCCTGCACCTATTGAGCTCAGGTTCTCTGCCACTCAAAATAATCCTTCCCTAATTCTTTGGAATGCTGTCGCAATTAAGCACAGCCACATTCAGGAGGCCCTCGGTGCAGTGCCTGGCACGGACAAGTGCCCAGCACCTGGGAGCTTTTATAACAGTGTTTAAGTAATAGTGTTATTTACCATTCACTTTGATTTCTCCAAGTGATAAGGTGTCCAGGTTCTGGCATTGAAATTAACAGCCTGGTATTCCAGCTTCCTGTGGGGACATGAAAACTGAAAAACTGGACACGTTTGGTACCATTGTTCTGAACTAAAAGAAAGAGGGCACCAAATTACAGCATATTAGGAGTCGCTCAGGCAAAGAGCAGAGATTCATTATTGCTTGAACATACGCAAACAATTTTAAATTAAACATGTATGTCTGCAAGCACTGGTCATATTTTCAAGGAGAAAATCTAATGGCATTAACCATTGGGCTCATAGTGTAAAGGTCGATGGAAAAGCTCCGTAAACTCAACAAGCCCAAACAACCATTTATTAGCAGGACCATAGCGACCAGTCGCAGAGGAGAAGGGAGGAGAGAGAGAAAGAGAGAGAAGGGGAGAGGGGGAGAGGGAGAAAGAGAGAGGGGGAGGGAGAGAGTAAGAGAGGTAGAGTAAGAGAGGGGGATAGAGAGGAGAGAGGGGGAAGAGAGGAGAGGGAGGGGAGGGGAGAGAGTAAGGGTAAGAGAGTGAACATGAACAGGGTGTTGATATTTATGGGCTCAATGCAGGATGAGGAGGAGCAGGGCGAGTGGGCTGTTACTTCTTCATTGGCTGAGAGTTCCTGACACTTCAGGGATGGGAGGTGCGCCATTCACAGGGATTGGAGGTGACTGTTCGGTTCGCGCGCCATTCAGTGCGTCATGGACCTGAGCTCCCGGAAGAGAAGCAGTCTGGGCACCATCTTTACCAACTCATAGTTCTGTGAATACCCAGACTTCACCCTCAGAGGGTGGAGCACAGTTCATTTGCTGAAGACTCCCCGTGCTGGCCAGACTCAATAGGGCTGCACCCCAAGTCCATCCCAACTGTGCCTCTGTTACTTCATCTGAACAATGGGGTAAGGCTTCTGAGTAGAGGCCATGCTGCTTTCCTGCTGCCCCCCCAAGGCCTATCAGATTCTCAAAGGCCTGGAGATGAGCTTCATGTCTGACTTCCCCAGGGCAAACCTGGCATGCCAGGCTCTGGCCATCTGCTCCACTCTCACCTCCACCTCCTTCGTGCCTGTGAGGCTGAACCACCACCACCACCACCTCCTTGAAGAAGCCCACCTGGATTTGTTATGCTTGAATTCAATTCGGGACCCCCAAAAGACCACTAGAGACCACCAGAGACAAAGAGATGCTTATTGCAAGCTAGCTCGGTCCTCCGCGCGCACACACACAGCAACTGGTGACACTGAGAGGCCCGGAGCCCAGGGTTTGCAGCAGTTTTATACACTCTTTGGGGAAGGCAGGGTCTTCACATATATCATAGCATCTCTTAGCAAATCATCACCCACCGCGGGAAAATCAAACAACAATTCTAAAACATGATTAGCACATTCAATGGCAGGAACAAGTTGGGTAGGGGTGTTTGGTTAGTACAAGAGGGGGATTCGTTGAACTGATTGGTTTAAGCTACGAGGGGAGTACTTGCTGAAATACATGGTTTCCCAACATGTTATCAACCACCATAAACTACTGGGAGGGTCATCTGGCATCCCAGGTATTTTCCCTGTCCCATGCAGATTGGTGGCTGCTAGGGGTTGCTATGGGTCCCCACCTAGCCTGATTGAGTCAGGGACATCCAGCACAGCAGATCTCTCCTGTTATTTGCAGATAAAGAACTCAGCAGGGTGGATATGTGCCTCGGAGTGCTCTGTGGGTCTTTGTCTGAGGTAGAGGCTGGTTTTTCAGATTCTCCTCAAGGATGCATCCTCCTGCACTTGGCCTCTCCCAAGGCACTTCCTTATGTGTCTGAGAATCCCTCCTTTTCCAGGGCAGAGATTCTACCCGCCTCACTCTTGGGCCTCACCCAAGGTCTTGTGCACAGTGTGCAGACACAGATTAACGTCACTGGCTGCCTTATGAGAACTGTCTGGGGAGCCTGCCCCTGTCTGCAGCCTTCTCCCATCACCACAACCTTAAATGGCATCCATCATTCAGGAAGTCGATACTAGCATGTGTCATTAATGTCACACTTCTCTCCCCACATTTAGCTCTCTCTGAAGTAGGGCTGCGTGTTCCCATGAGTGGGCGACAGGTATTCTTTCTTAATGGGTGTAAAACAACGCCGCCTTTCCGTTGGTGCCATCTAATCCCCATTTAACAGCTGAGAAATTGTAGGGACATGAAGGTAAGCCACTTGCCCAGGCCTGTAGCTCGTTCCTGACAGGGCAAGGCTCTAGACTCGGGCACGTCATGGGCCGGGAATGAATCCTTGTTCTGCGGGGTAGGCATGCTCTCCAAGGGCCCGGCCACTCCAGCCTGCTGGTGTCCACATCCTTGTGTGACCCCCTCCACCGAAGCCTTGATGACTTGCTCCTGAGGAACAGAAGTGATGGACGTCCCCTCTGAGACTAAGCCCGGGGAGACTCTGGCTCCAGTCTTGCTCCCCATCTCTGGTTGTCCCTTGCTTGCTTTGATTGAAGCCAGCTGTCACATTGTGAGCTGGTTTTGGAGACCCAGGGGTAGGCAGCCAACAGCCAACAATGACCTGTGAAGATAGAATTCTGTGTCATGGCAGGAGTGAGTCCAGAAGGTCATCCATCCTGTGGGACCCTTGAGAGTAGTCCCACTGAGCCACGGCCAGTTCCTGACTCACAGAAACTGTGACATAATGTGTCCTGCCTGAAGCCACTCAGTGTGTTGTAAGCCTCTAAATGTCATTTAAGCTATCAGGTTTAAATTAAATCCATGGAGGGATTAGCTCCAGAACCAGCAAAAATACTCAAAACATAGTGCTTAAAACCAAAGGAAGGGGGCTGGGGATGTGGCTCAAGCGGTAGTGCGCTCGCCTGGCATGCGTGCGGCCCAGGTTCGATCCTCAGCACCACATACAAGCAAAGATGTTGTGTCCGCCAAATACTAAAAAATAAATATTAAAATTCTTTAAAAAAAAAAACCAAAGGAAGGGCTGGGGTTGTGGCTCAGCGTAGAGCGCTTGCCTACCATGTGTGAGGCCCTGGGTTGGATCCTCAGCACCACATAAATAAATAAATAAATAAATAAATAAAACAAAGGTACTGTGTACAACTAAAAGAAATAAATATTAAAAAAAGGGGGGGGGTTGGGGTTGTGGCTCAGTGGTAGTGCGCTTGCCTAGCACATGCGAGGCCCTGGGTTCGATCCGCAGCACCACATAAAAATAAATAAATAAAACCAAAGGAAGAGGAGAAGGAAGCAATACATTTTGGTCCCTTGGCCTGCACTCTTTGCCCCAGGAGTCGTTTGTCACACAGCCATGGACAACTGATCAATTCCGATATTTAACACCAAGTATTCACTGTGTTGGGTACCAGGGCCACAAAGAGGGAAAAGATTTTACTTTTGAAGGATGCCCAGTCCAGTGGGACAAGGCGTGGGTGTGATTGGGCTCTGGTGAGTTGCAGAGGGGACTGCCCACCTGACACAGCCCAGAGGGGTCAGCAAAGCCTTCTGGCAGGTGTCACTCACAGAACCAGGTGTTGAAAGGTGAGCGAGAGCTGGCCAGGTGAAGAAGGCTGGAGGATGGGAAGAGAAGGACAGGAACACCTATTTTCTCCTTGTCCTCAGTGGATGGGGGAGATTATTTTAAGACTACGCATTTAGCAAGAGGGCTTGATGGGAGCCATCCAGCCCTACGCTTGCTTCTCCCAGCCTGTGGGTCAGCAAGCTCCTCCTGGCTCGGGCTTCAGAGAGAGCAGGACGTGCAAGAATAGCACCTCCGAGGCCAGGGCCACAGAGATTCTGTGATGGCTTTGTTGCCTTGGGACCAGGGTCAGGGTGGCCTGTGGGTTAAACACTAGGAGTGTGGGCAGGGCTGGGATAAAGATGCCTGGGATCCTGTCAGAATCAGCATTTGGGACAGACTGGGGCACAAGGTCCATTCTCTTTATAAGTTCCTTGTCTTAGCTCCTCAGTCAGAGCTGAGTCTGTCAGACATTAAGACAGGCTTTTCCCAAGGATGGCCCAGAAACTCAGAGGGAGGAAAGAAGGCCAGGCCAGGCCCTGGGGGGGAACTGTAGAGCAGAGCCAAGGGTCACAGCCAGCACTTCCCTGACCCAAGTCGGGCAGCTCTTGCAGCAGCCTAAGCATGGAGGAGGCAGGGGCCCGGCTTCTGGTTCTGCCTCTGCTGCTGACCCAGGGGCATGGCAGGGCCGGGGTAGGGACAGACCGTAGAAGCTTGTGCTTTAAAGCCAGGCTGATCCACTGGGAGTCCAGCTCTACCATTTACTGGGCATGCTCTCTGGACAGTGCTTGATCTCTGTGAGCCACAATTTCCTGGTCTGTAAAATGGGATGATAAACTAAGCATGCTGGCATACCCCTGTAGTTCCAGCTACTGGGGAGGAGACAGAGGCAGGAGGATCACTTGGGTGTAGGAGTTTAAGGAAGACCTTGTCTCAAACTAACAACAGCAAAGGATAATAATGCCCACCTCATAGGGCTAGCATGGTGTTTAAATGAAATCCATGGAGCTCTTGAACAGTGTAAATGCTCAAAATGCTCAAAACATAGTGGACAAAACTAAAAGGAGCATGGCCCGACGTGGGAGATCCCTCCAGCTCTCAAATTCTATAATTCTCGGGAACCTGCTGGCGTAACTTGGGACCACTCTCTCTTTCCCCTGTCTCATGAGAAAGAGCTGCTACTGGTAGTCTCGCTTGCAGAGATGTCCACATTCTTGATTTCGTCTCAGTTTTTCAAAGAACCCATTTTACAGAGGGCAGACAGTCCAGAAGGGGACTTGCCCCCAATGATCAATACCACCAACTCATTTTTATTGAGCACTTGCTGTGCACCAGACCCTGTGGGACACATTTAAGCCACAGAACAATTGCCTGAGTAGCTCTGTTACTGAAGTGGGGGCTCATGGGTCACAGAGCTTTAAGCGCTGAAGCTGCAGTTTACCCACAGGCACTTGGTCCTCGGTCATGGCAGCCCAGCTCTTAACCTCTACACTGTGCTGGAATATTGGGGCAGAGTTAGGCTTGGAAGAAAACCAGGCCTCCTGATGCCTGGCCTAGAGCTGTTTCGCTTTCTCTTATTCTTTAACTTTTTTTTTTTTTTTCCCTAATGTGGTAAAATACCCATGTTAAAAGATTTACCATCTCAGCCTTTTTATTCTTTATTTTTTTCAGTTCTGGGGATTGAGCTTAGGGTCGCTTTACTACTGAGCCACATCTCCAGCCCTTTTCATTCTTTGTAAGGGTCTCCCTAAATTGCTGAGGCTGGCCTCAAACTTGTGATCCTCCTGCCTCAGCGTCCCGAGTTGCTGAGATTACAGGCGTGCGCCTCCACGCCCGGCTCCATCTCGGGCAGTATTTGAAGTGGATGGCTCAGTAGTATTGCATTCATCCACAATGTTGTGCAACCAACCTCCAGGGCCCTTCTCATCTCCTAAAACTGAAAATGTATAACCACTAAACAATGAACTCTCCATTCCCTCTGCCTCTGGTTGCCAGCAGCTGCCATTCTACTTTGTGTCTCTATGAATATGGCTCTTCTAGGTTGGAGCTGCCCTGACTCATAAAAGCCTGTCTCTGCTTTGCTCTTGAGTCATCTAGAATCAGTGTCCTTGAGATGCAGGGACCTGGACAGCCAGAGCCCCGCTTAGAGGAGGCCAAGCTTTTCCAGGATGGGTGGTCAGGGAGGGTTGCCTGGAGGAGGAGGAGGAGAAACAGACGGGAAGATCCAGGCCTCGGGTTTACACTTCTTGTTCCAGAAGATGAGGAGGTGGTGGGGAGTGTGACTCAGGGGTGCTCGGCCCCTGTGGCCTGCCCTTTGGTTTATGACAGCCACCTCAGCAGCAATAACCTTTGCCCCCAGGTGAGCTCCTGTCAGATGGGTGGAGGCCCCAGGCCATCCTAGAGGGCCAGTGGCTTGCCCAGAGGCTGAAGTGTCCAGAACCATGGGAACAGGGCTGCGCAGCCAGTCCTTGCGAGGACCCCGGCACTCCTACGGGAAGCTCCAGGAGCCCTGGGGAAGACCCCTCAAGGGCCAGCTCCGCCGGGCAGTGAGCCTCAGACAAGGGCGTGAGAAATCCAGGTCCCAAGGCCTTGATGGAGGGACAGACGTGCAGAAAGTCCCTGCTCAGAAGAGCCAGCCTGCGGGGAGCGTGGAGGACACGGAGCAGCTCTCGGAGCAGCTCACGGAGCAGCTGATCCAAACCCCGCCAAGAGGCTGCCGGTGGTGGCTGAGGCGATGCCAACAGGTACGGGCCAGCGCTGAAGGGCTGAAGGACGGGCGTCATGGAGCGGGCAGCGGGGGCGGCCCAGGCTCCCAGGTGGGCGCACAGCAGGCAGCGGACCGGGAAGACGCACAGCTGCCCCGGAGTGAGGCGGGAGCGAGCTCCCGGGGGGATGGCGGTCCAGAGGGTCCTGGAGGCTTCGTTTGGCTTAGTCCCCTGGGCACTGGGCAGTGGCTGAAAGTTTTAGGATGGGGCTGGGTGGGGTCATGGTCAGAGCTGTTTTAAGATGATCAGCGCGACATTGTCGTGGGTGGGTGAGTGGAGCAGGAGATCGGCCGCCTCCTGCCCCTTGAAGAAGGGGAGAACCGGACCCTGGGGCGGGGGGCGCCTCCTCCTGCTGCGGAAGGGTCGCCGGCGGCGGCGCTTCTCTCTCTGGGGTCTACCGCCACCTCGCGGCTGTGGCTGGAACAGCACCAGAAGCCCCCAGCTTGGCCGTGGGCCCTGGCCGCTCATCTCCCCTACCTTGGTGTTCCAGCAGGTGAGGAGGAAGTGGGACAGCTTTGTCACCAGCATCCCCAACGTGACCTGGAGTCGGCCGGCCTCCCCGAAGCTCCCACTGGACAGCAGCTAGAGGTGCTGCAAATAGGGTGGACCTTGCTGCGCCCCACGGGACTTGCCTCTTCATGGCTCTCTGGACGGCCCGGCCTCTGTCACCAGCTCTCGGGAGCCCCCGTGTTGCTGTCCACCTGGGCTCTGTCCCTCCCACCCCAACCCCAGCAGAGACCCGGTGGGGCTAAGGAGAAGGCTCGGCCTGCCCTTGGACCAGGAAGCTGTGAAGGTTGGGGAACCTGCTGGGAGTTGGGGGTGTTGGGCCCCAGCCCCACACAAGACCTGTGCCCCCTTCAAGACAGAGCTCGGTGAAGCCAGACCCATGGCTGAGAGGCTCTTGGACACCACCCAGTCTCAGGGACGAGCTCCACCTGCCCTTCCCGTCAGTGGTGCTGGGCCAGGGCACTGGTGTCCCTCACAGACGGCGAGCCCTGGAGCGCAAGGACCGTGTCTGGACGATCCTCACTGTTGGGCACTCTGTGACAGAGAGGCCTGTGACCACGTGTTGCCACATTCCGGCCTCACGGTATCCTGATGAAGGAAGCAGGGAGGCCTTCCTTCCCATGTGACAGAGGGAAACTGAGGCAGGGGGATTCATTGTTTGGGGGTACCTAGCCCCACACTGCACCCCCACCCGGTGCCCAACTTTGGGGTTGTAATAAAGACGCTGAGCTGAAGTGAAGGTTTGGCCAGCTGACTCGCACAGGTTCCGAGCCTCTCCCAGCCCCGTGAAGCAGGCTGGGCCCAGAGCCCGGGCACTGCTCTCGGAGGCTCAGAGAGGTGAGGAGCTCTGCCAGGACCACACAGAGGGGGACACTCTGACTCCAAGAGCCTGAGTGCTTTGAGACTGCATTCCCTGTGGGGCCCCTGGGGCTCTCCAGGACCGAGCAGGTCTCAAGTCAAAGGTAAGGGAGCAACCAGGCATTCTGGCCCAGGGCCCGTTTAGGGGTTGATGAGGTCCCCCCAGAGAAGTGGGCTCCTCAGAGCCCAGAACCCTGGCAGGGTCATTCAGGAAGAAGAGAGGTTCTAGGAAAATGTCGTCCCAGACAGCCAGTGGGAGCCTGGCTCTGAAGCCAGACTGTGGAGCCACTGAGCACAGCTGTAGTAAACTCCAGGTGCCCCTGCTTGGCCCCTTCCTCAGAAGCACTGGGGGTGCCTCCAGGAAACCCCAAGACTCCAGGAAGCAGCTGAGTCCACAGCTCTGAGCAGCCCTGTCAGTGCCTGGAGGAGGAGCAGGCCAGAAGGGAGCAGGACTTCTCGACCTCTGGTCTCTGCCCTGGAGGCCCGACTCGGCCTCACGTTCCTCAGAGACAAGCCCCGAGGTTCTCCTGCTCAGCATGTCCTGTGACCTCCTGTCCGGTTCAGTTCCACGGTGGTGGGCCTGTTCATGGCGCAGTGCCTAGCTTAGGCCTGGCACTTAGTAAGGCTCAGTAAATGATTGTTGAGTGAATGAAGGAGTGGCTCAAGGTCACTGGTGAGTGGATGGCTGAGCTGGACCTCTGGCTCTGGGTCTGGACTCTCCCTCTCAGGCAGAGTACTCCCTTCCTCAGTCTCACCAGCAAGCCATCGACAGGAAGCTCATTTCTGGGGCCCTTGGGATAGCCCCACCCACCCACCTGCACACAGGTGGGTTGTAGCTTAAGATGGCCCCAGTCATCCCTCCCATCTCCACTGCCTTTTGGCCTTGTCTGTCACACGTTTAGAGACTCTCAAAGGCCTATGTGTGAAAGATTTAGTCCCCAGGGTGGCATTCTTGAGAGATGATAAGAACTTTGAGAGGTGGGGCCTCACCGGACATTCTTAGGTCATTGAAGTTGTGCCCCTGAAGTGGACTGTGGGACTCCATTCTCTTTCACTTTCTCTTTGCTTGCTGGCCACAGTTTTGCTGTGTCCTATCATGATGCACTGCCTCACCACACAACCAAAGCAACAGGGCCAATCTAGAACTTCCAAAACTGTGAGGCAAAAAACACTCTCTCTATGAGGTTATTATCTCAGGTGTTTTGTGATAGTAACAGAAAGCTGACAAACACATTTCCCATCAAGAGCACAGTCTATTTTCCCTCTCCTTGAATCTGGATGAGCTGTGTGACCTACCTGAACCAACACACTGTGGTGAAAATATCCAGGGCTTCAAAGTCTAGGCCTTGATAGGTTTTGCAGGTCCTACCTCCTGATCCTGATACTACCTCCTGCTCTTCCTTCCCTGGGAAGCCAGCTGCCTGTTGAGAAGGCCAGGCTGTCCTGCTAGAGAGACCATGTGGAGGTCAGGGGCCACAGGGAGCAGGCCTAAGGCAGCCCCACAACCAGCACCAACACCAGTCCTGTGAGACCCCAGCCCAGATCCCAACTGATGGCAGCCTGAGTTGTTCCCACTGACCATAGAACAGAAAGATCGTCAGCTGGGCCCAGCCAACCCTCAGTGTCGAGATGTAAGAAACCCTTCTGGCTTTCAGTTTGGGGTCATATTAGAGTCCTAGGGCCGCTATGACAAATGACCGCAAGCTGTTATTAAAGCAACAGAACTGTATTCCCTCACAGTTCCGGAGGCCACAGGTCCCAAATGAAGGCATGGTCGGGCTGTGCTCTCCCTGAAGGTTCTAGGAAGGCAGAATTCTTCCTGCCCTTCAGCTCCTAGTGGCTTCCCCCAATCCCTGATGTTCCAGGCTCCGCCTCTCAGGGCATTTTCCCAGTGTGTCTATGTCCATGTTTCCCTCTTCTTTTAAGGACACCAGTCCTACTGGATTTAGGGTCCACCCTCATCCTGTCTGACCTCGTCCTAACTTGATAACCTTTACAGACACCCTGTATCCAAAAAGGTCACACTCAAGATTCTAGGTGGGCATGAACTTCGAGAGGGACAAGTTCAACTTGGCGGGGGTGGGTAGTTAGAGGTGCACAGCAGCTAACCCAACAGCCTGGCTGCCGCCACAGGGTGTGACCTTTACAACAGCCCTCTGCCAGGGCCGCGGTGGGTGGGGGCAGACAGTGTTGTTCAGTGGTTAGCCACCGCCATGGAGCCAGACTGCAGGGTTTGAATCCTGACTCTACCAGTTGGTGGTTTGTGATCCTGGGAAAGCCACTTACTATCTCTGCCTCAGTTTCCTCATTTGTAAAATGCGGCTGATAGCAGCAGTTGGCTCCTAAGTTCATTGTGAGCAGCCCATGAACGCACGTTGCCTAGAGCTGTCCTGAACGGAGAGGAAGTGCCCTTCCGATCTTACACACTAAGGCTCATGTGTTTCCAGGACTGGGGAGCTCGCTCCTGATCAAGCACCCTCTTCACATGTGACCTCCGCCCTCCAGGAGCTCCCAGCCTGGCTGGGGGGCAGACAGACGGACAGATGGCCACTGCCCTGCTCCGAAGCAGAATGAAGTGGATGCTCGCTGGGCAGCGCAGGGTGGGAGACTCAGGGAGAGGCCCTGGCTCCTGAACTGGCGTGACGGCCTGGCTCAGCCGCACATCTTCCCCGGGGTCCTGAGAGCTTCTGCGGGGGAGAAGCCACGAGCAGGAGGGTAAATGGGGCCACTCGGCTGCACTAATGGGGAAGCAACGAGGCGGGCAAAAACCCTGCGTCCTGCCTCTCCAGAGCCATGGCTGCGGACTCGGGCTGGAGAGGCCCCTGGAGCCCAGCAGATTCAGTGCATTTACTTCACAGGTGAGGAGACGGAGGCAGAGCTGCAGCTCCCCCAGGGCTTCCCCTGAGGGAGTCAGGAGTCTGCTGGGTGTGCAGCCTGTGAGGGAAGCCAGGGGGCTCAGGCCTGGGTGTCCAGCCTGAGTCCAGCTGACTCTCTGAGTGACCTGGTGTGAACCTCCGCCCTTCTCTGGTCTTAATTCTCTCTCTGCAAAGCGGGATGGTGCTCTCCTTTGGGCTGAAGGTTAGATAGGATGTGCTGAAGCCTTGCAAGCTCCACGGAGCCTTATCCTGAGAGAGAATACCTCATCTCCGCCCTCATCAACAAGCTGGAGGGAAAACTGCAGATGGAGGCCAAATTGCCTGAGTTCAAATCCTGGTTCTATTGATTACTAGCTGGGTGACATCAGGCAAACTGCTTAACCTCTCTGTGACTTGATTTCCTCTGTGACTTGACTTCCTCGTTCAATAAAAGTAGCAATCCCTCCTCACAGGGTTTTGTATTCCCCAAGTTAACACATGTAAAATAGTAGGGCAGTTAGTCAGCCTTTCGTTCTCAGTAGCCAGTTCTAGGGAGTTTTCCCCATGTGATCTTGAGCAGGTCTGCTCTCTGAACCTCAGTGGCCTCCTCTGGAAAATGGGGGTGTTAATAATAGCCGCTGGCTCGAGGAGTCTGGGGGATGAGACAGGCCAAGGCACATGCTGTGCCGAGCTCGGAGCCAGCTCAGGCAAGCGCAGGCTCAATGGGAGACTGGGGAGGCCTGGCACCGGGAGCCCAGCGTGTCCTCAGCTCACCTTGGCTGCGCCTGGCCTTGGCAGGGCTGTGGGCGGCAGAGAGGGGCCATCGGGATCCAGGAAAGTGGGCTCAGCCTCAGACCAGATGGTGGCCCTGGGGCCTCCCAGGAGGTGGTCTCACTCAGTGCCCAAGTGGGAACGGGAGCAGGAGGAAGTCACCCACCCACTCCTCACCTTGCCTCCTTCCCCCTGCGGCTGCCTGCCGCCGGCCCTCCAGGCCCCTCCCAGCCTGGCCATGTCTCCCTTCTCTGAGTCCCAGGCACAAGCAGTAGATCCAAGCGTCTTTGGGCAAGTGTCACTCAGAGAGCTTCAGAAAGGATGAGGCAGAATCCTCTCCCCAAAGCCCAGCCAGGTGACAGCCCTGAGAACGAATCCCCACCCTGCAGCTGCTCAGGGTGCAGATGTGCCCTGAGGAGGGCACAGTTGGCATTAGGATGTGGGAGACCCGAGGAGGCTGCCTGAGGAGGGGGCAGCAGAGGGAGTGGGGGGCTCACCCCAGTGGGGGAGTTGGGCAGGGTGTGACCAGTGGGGTGCACAGAGCCGGCCAGGGACAGCAGGACCGTGGAAGAACAGGAGTGGCACAACTCTCACTGGGGGATAACAGGGAAGACAAGGGGTGGGACTTCCGGGATCACGAGAGCTTGAGCTTCACCTGGGAAACCCCAGGGAGCCTGGCAGGATGGCGGCCACTCCAGAAGACGAGGACAGGCAGAGAGGCCCAGTGGGAGGGACCACAGACCTGTTCCTGTTTTACAGACACGGTCTCAAGACCCAGAGGGAGGTGGGCTTGGCTGGGCCACGCACAGTGAGGTGACCCGGGCTGGGCGCCCCTACCCCAGCCCACCTGGAACCCCGACGTGCCTCCGCCGCCTTCCTTCCTGCTGCCCAGATTCCACCTCCCCTGGGGCGCCCGGGCCGAGGAACGCTCAGGCCTCCCTCCCCAGCCGAAGGCCGCGGCCTGATGGTGGGCAGGGCAGCCGGCTGCGGGCCTCGGGGGGCCCCTGCCCCTACTATGGCAGCACGGGGTTGGCCTGCTGTTGGGGCCCCGCCCGGCCTTGCCCCTCCCCGCCTACTTCTGTTCTCACTCCCCCTGGAGCCAACCCCCCCCCTCCTTGCTCCACATGTCACCTCCTGGAGCACAGACACCAGTTCAGAAGAGGTCCCGTGCCTGTTTCTGAACCAATTTCTCTGACAGAGACAACAGGAGGCTCTCAGTGGTCAGGTCCGAGTTGAGTCCCTTGGCGGCAGAGTGGATTCTACAAAGAAAAGGAGAAGCTGTTACAGGACATAGAATAAAAGGCCTGAGGTCACAGTCCCCACCCTTCCATACTCCTCTTATGCATCACCCCCACCTGAATGTCTAAGAGGAACTTTGGATCCCAAATGTCCCAAGCTCTTCTCTGTTCTTCTGGCCCAATGATCCCCACCTCATTATGGCGACTCCAGTCCCAGCCCAGCAGAGCCGGGCACCTCCGTGTCAGACTCTTCCTGTCCACTACATCCCCCCCTGCCCCCCGCCCCCCCCCCCCGCTGACCTGTCCACCCCTCTTCAAATGCATCCAGACTCAGAGCTCATGGCCCTGCACTAGGCAGGGAGAACCTGAGAACTGGGCTTCCCTCTGCAGTCTTTTGAATTTCCCAGCATGTGTCTTCCTGACCCTGACCCTAAGCAAGCATCATTCATCCGCTCAGCAAATGAGTGCCAACTTCTGCTCTGGAAGGACCTGGGAGCCCTGAGCAACCAAGCCTCAGCCCTGTACTGCTGCAAACCAAAGAAAAGATGCCCAAGAAAGGACTTGGACATGCAGAGCACTGAGCGACTTGGTTACAAGCAATATTTGCAAAGTCAAAATAATATAATTAATGACTTTATTATCCCCCGAATCATGTCGTAACTATTAAGAGGGCAGAGACAGAAGATCCATATGTTGGGGGCAGTGTGGAAACAGGAGAGCTAAATCTTCACCTCTCAGAGTCGGGAGTCTCAGGTGAAGTTCTAATATGCAGACCCAAGGACTCGCAATGCAGGCATGTGATCTAGGATTGTGGAGGTAAATCCCAAGGAAACAGGAGGTGCAAGGCCTCCCCTGGGGGTGCAGTGGGATAAGGCCAAGGGCCACAGATCTTAGGCCATTTGATTTTTTTTTTTAAGAGAGAGAGAGAGAGAGAGAGAGAGAGAATTTTAATTTTTAGTTCTCGGCGGACACAACATCTTTGTTTGTATGTGGTGCTGAGGCTCGAACCTGGGCCACAAGCATGCCAGGCGAGCGCGCTACCGCTTGAGCCACATCCCAGCCCTGGCCATTTGATTTTTAAAACGAAGCTTTGATAAAAATAAAAATGAAATGAAAAATAAATGGAATAGATTTATAAATTACTTATGAGGTTATGACCTCGGGACTACTAGGAATAGATGTCTTGGAAATAAGTCTTCTAAAATCATTTCAAAAAGTAACCCAGGGGCCTGGGGCTGGGGCTCAGTGGTAGAGCACTTGCCTAGCATGTGTGGGGCACTGAGTTCGATTCTCAGCACTGCATATGAATAAATAAATAAATATAAAGACCCATTGACAACTAAATATATATTAAAAAAAAAAAAAGCAACACAGATTGATTGGCAGACTTGGAAGGTGATCTAGATATTCATGATAGAGTATGTCACTGCAATTCTTCCTGAACCCGAGGGTCATGGAGGAGACCTCTCAGATGCGTGTGAACAAAGTAGCTCAGGGTGGAAGGACACGGTATCATGGTATTTGCAACCTGTTCTCAAATGATATGGGAAAAAATTTTGCACATAGGCATGTATTTAATTATATATATGTATGTAAAAGCATGCACACTGGAAAGCACATGTGGGAACAGTCGGTGACTCAAGGTGAAGATTAGCCAGAGTTCATTGTACAGTCCTCACAACTTTTTATAGGTTGAACATTTTTCAAAACAGGATTTTTGTTTTTGTTTTTTGGTGTGAGGGATTGAACCCAGGGGTGCTTAACCACTGAGCAACATCCCCAACCCATTTTATATTTTATTTCGAGACAGGGTCTCACTAGTTGCTTAGAACCTTGCTAAATTGCTGAGGCTGGCCTTGAACTTGTGATCCTCCTGCCTCAGCCTCCGGAGCCACCTGGATTACAGCCTGCACCACTGCACCTGACTTCAAAATAAGTTTAAAAAAAAAGAAAAGAAAAGAAAAGAAAAAGCAATCTGATCACATCACTAAGGAGAGGCGAGCAGAGTGTGCCCCTCCCAATGGAGAAACAGCTCCATCGTGACATACTCTTGCCCCCCAAATTCACAGCTGTATTTTATCAAGCTTTCAGATCCAGCTCCCAATTTACAAGGACCCTGGGGACAGAGAGCATGTTCAACTACACCAGGGGATGGCAATCAGCCAGATGCAGGTGGTGGGGGCCATCCCCAGTGTTTATCCACAAATAAATTGCCAAGAAAAAAAAAAGATGGACTGGGAAATCCTAAGAAATGTGAAAAATTAACCAGTCACAATGCATTAACTTTATTTGGACACTAATCAAACAAAATGAGAGGGAAGGAAGGAAACAAAGAAAGAGAAAATACTTCTGAACCATGAAACACTTGGGACTTTGAACACTTACCAGATATTTGATATCATATGAGTATTCTTTCTTAGGGGTGAAAATCCAGCACTGGGTCCATGGATTTTGCACCTATAGATTCGACAACTGGGGGGTTAACATATTGGGGAGGGCTGTGGGTGTGGCTCAGAGGTGGAGCGCCTAGAGTGCATGATGCCCTGGGTTCCAACAGCAGCACCATAAAATTGCATCTAGACTTTTCTTTCTAATCACTGTTCCCTAAACAGGGCAGTATAACAGCAATTCGCATAGCATTTGTATTGCATTAGGCACTGTACATGATCTAGAACTGAAGGATACAGGAGGAAGTTCTTGGGTTCTACGCAGATACTAGGCCATGTTACATAAGGGACTGGGCATCCTCAGACTTAGCTCTCTGCTGGGGGTTCTGGAACAAATCCCCCAAAGACACTGAGGGGCGACTGTAATAGTTACATTAATAAAACTTTCCTTATCTTTTAGGTTCCTTTTGCATTTTGTGGATGGCATGACGCAGTGTCTGGGATTTGCTTGGGAGGTGAAGGAAATGGATGAGAATATAGACAAACAGGACCAACCCTGAGCTAACGCTGCTGAAGCCGGGGGACAGTACTGGATAGACCCAAGGTGCCTAATTTTGGCACCAGGAATTGAACCAGGGGTGCTTAAACACTGAGCCATATCCCCAGCCATATATATAATATATATAATAAAATATATATTTTATTTAGAAACAGGATCTCACTGAATTGCTTAGGGCCTCGCTAAGTTGCTGAGGCTGCCTTTAAACTCATGATCCTCCTGCCTCAGCCTCCCAAGCCACTGGAATTACAGGCATGCACCACCGCACCCAGCCTCCCTGGATACGAGGCTTGGGGTACAGGGTGCTGGCAACAACCTTGTTAGACGACTCCCAAAGGGCTCTGTCTGACAAAGACCTTGCTAACAACCATTTTATAAAATGCGTCTGGGCTGGGGACGGAGCCCAGTGGCAGAGCACTTGTGTAGCACGTGCAAGGCCCTGGGTTCCATCCTCAGCACTGCAGGAAAAAATTAAATATCTCCCGGTCTCCAAACAGGGATTGCAGATTACTAATTTGTTGTTGTTGATGATCGCGTCCCAGTTCAGATTTCGCCTCCATCGCACACAGAGGGCACATGCTGTCCCAGTAAGAACTCAGTTCCCGGAACTCATGGCCACAGGAGCCAGCGGGGATGTCTGGGGTTCCGGCCAGTCCCAGCCGTGGTGGGAGGAAACAGTGATCCTGTATATTTGGAAGTCTGTGGGTGGTGTTTATTTACTGGGAAGTCTGGGTCACTTCCCCTGTGGGTGCTAGAAGCCATGGTGGCCAAAGGACACTGGCTGGAGGAAGATCAGGCGTGGGCAGCTTGAGGTGGGGACAGGGTAGGCGAGCAACAACCACAGACTCAGTGGCCTGGCCAGAGGGAGGGCGCAGCAGAGCCACCGCCTTGCTGAGCGGACTCGGCCAGCGTCTCTGGACTGCAGCTCTGTGCATAAGCAGTTATGTCCAGGGTCCCACACACGGGGCTGTGAATCTGAGTCTGTCTCTTGCCAGGTCTGGTGTGTCTGATGGCTGGAAGACTCTCCTTTCTCATCTATGAATGGAGACAATAACAGGACCAAGGTCATGGGTCATCCTGAGGAGCTGGGAGGGGATGCACGGAGGCTCTCGGCACAGGGCTCCGTGTTCTAGGAGCTCTCACTATAGAGGGTCTGCCACTGCTGTCACTTGCTGTCCCTAAGGTACAGAGATCCAGCTCCAAAGAGACTGAACATATCAGACTGCTGTACCAATGACACCATAACATAATTAAACGATAAAACAGAGCTGGGCACGTGGCACACACAGCCACAACTTGGGAGGCTGAGGCAGGAGGATCGCAAGTTTGAGACCAGCCTCAGCAACTTAGATTCTGTCTCAAAAAAAAAAAAAAATTAAGGGGCTGGGGATGTGGCTCAAGCGGTAGCGCGCTCGCCTGGCCCGGGTTCGATCCTCAGCACCACATACAAACAAAGATGTTGTGCCCGCCGAAAACTAAAAAATAAATATTAAAAATTAAAAAAAAAAATAAGAGACCTGGGGACGTAGCTCAGTGGTGAAGCACCCTGGGTTCAATGTGCAGTACCAAAAAAAAAAAAAAACTTGTAATGGAGAAGCCTGATAAATTCTATCAGGTGATCAAGGTCAATATCAACAGTTAATGGCACTTTTCCTCTGTGATCTTCCTCCTTCTCTTAATCATGAGAAAGACATCAGACAGACCCCAGCTGAGGGACAGCCGTGGTGGCACATGTCTATAATCCTAACATTTTGAGAGGCCGAGGCAGGAGGATCATGAGTTCAAAGCCAGCCTCAGCAACTTAGCGAGGCCCTAAGGAACTCAGCAAAACCCTGTCTCCAAATACAATCCAAAAATGGCTGGGGATGTGGCTCAGTGGTTAAGTGCCCCTGGGTTCCATCCCCCAACCACCACACACACACCAAATAAAAGCTATTTAAAGACATTAAAAACTGTCAAGTTCATAAACAAATTTTAAAAAGGAAAGTCTGAGAAACTGTCACAATGAAGAGGAGCCTTAGAGACATGATAAGTTTGTGATGTAATGTCCTGGGACAGAAGAAGGACCTCAGGTA